TTGGACCCGTGCAGTGGCGCTCCAAGCTGCAGACGGTCACTGCCACGTCTACTGCTGAAGCCGAGTTTATGGCTGCTTACTCTGCGGCCAGCGAGACTATGTTTTTTGATCATTTGGTTCGTGAACTCTCACACGCCGTCTTCAAGCCCGTGTTGTTCAGTGACAACCAGGCGGCGATCCACATGATTACAAACGGAGCCAACTCTCCGGGCTCCAAGCACATTGCTGTCAAGTATCGCTTTGTGCAAGAGAGGTATGAACGCAACCAGCTCGATGTCCAGTTCTGTGGGACCAAGGACATGGTTGCTGACCTTCTCACCAAGCTGCTCAATGGACCGAGCCATCGTCGTTTGTGTGACATGCTCTTCCGTTCTCAGCTTGAAGGGGAGTATTAGAGGCACAATCTGAGACGGTATACTTTACCACGTTGTGTGTCCTCTGGTACTTGATGTTGTCCCACCTTGTTGTGTAACATCTTGCTGTACCAACTTGCTGTACCATCTTGTTGTGGCATCTGTTGGTCCCAACAGATTGCTGATATCGCTTCCACCTGTCTTCAGTGTGATAGTCCATTCTCTGTCTCCACTGTGTGTGTGTGTGTTTCCACCTGCTATAAATGGGAGCGATCTCCCTGGATCGGTACCATTTTCCTTCTTGACCTCGGTCGTTCCACTTCCCTCCTTCTGTCTTGTTCTGTCTTGTTCCTTCGCCTTGCTTCAATCCATGTTCTCGTATGCACTTCGATTGGTTGGATACCTCTGTGACAATCGCCTTGTCCACACACATTACACTGTACTGGACATACACCTTTAATACGAACTGACCCTGTATAACCAGAGATCCAGCCATTTTAAACACAAGACACAAATAGGCAGTCACACATGACAAGTACTAGCCATCACAGCACGATCACACAAAGAACACCACGGCACGCTCACATCCAACGAGACACAACGTCGGATTGAGAAAACAACCGACCACAGAAGAAATAGAAATCATACGAAGGACTTTACAAAAATTCAGCAAAAATTAGGGCAAAATACGAGCAAAATTACAAGAAATATACCAGTCCAGCCATCAAAAAAGACACAACGAGAACCCCCTAGATTGACGGGTGCACACAGGAGTCCCCACAGAGAGACCCCCGATACAGTGCCTACCTACGACGAGCGCAGGTAGACACCGCCAAAGTGGCGCTGGATGTTGTCAGCGTTCATCTGATGGACCAGCGCCGCAAAGCGACCCTTCCACCGAGGAACAAACGCCTCATCCAGCCCCGGCTGGTACACGCCACGAGCCTCGGCGCAGCGGGCGAGCTGACCAAGCAGATCTACAAAGGAGGAGGCGAACCCACCGGTTGTCGTCATCGCCGCAGGGACGATCAGAGTTTTTCCATGATTGAAACCGGTGTAGTAGTCGCGCTTCTCCTTTTCGGCTCGGCGAAGGGCAGCGCCCACCTTGCTGCAGGCTTGCGAGGTGGTCGGGGGTTGAACTGTGCGCACAGTCACGTCAATGACATTACCCTTATACCAGAGGCACAATCTGATACGTAATGCTTTCAATTGGAGTCAATGCGATGTATAGCTCTGCTCACCCACGAGCAGCGTTGATCAACCCCTGATGGCTCTTGGACTTGAGTCCTCCGATGTCGTAGTCCTGCAAATCATGTATGTACGAGGGATGCTACCTCAAATGCGACGTGCTTTTCCGCAATTTCAAACCGCCTCCATAGTCGTAGGTAGAGGGTTACCAAAACTTATTTTCCCACGACTACCAGACAGTCTTATGATTTATCGCAGAAGCGGCAGGCTTTTTCTGCGACTATGGAGTGGTACATAATGTCCGGCTGACACCACGACACTGAAACAGCCCTGACGGTGCCGAATGCCAGTCACATGTTGTACAATTTTGACGCTGGCTCACACAATGAATGCAACGATGAAAGAGGGCAACTGGCTTGACTACTTGCGCTTGCCGCCTTGCTTACCCGCCTTGCTAATAGGCCTAGGTTTGAGCAATTTTCAAGAACAAGGGTAAGGAATGCAGGGTGTGCGCTCCTCAAATTGACGAAAAGGGATCATGCAATGAATGCAAATACACACTTTCTCTTCTTATTGGAGCCGGTCTGCTTCGTTTGAGTATTCTTAGTACCTTTCTACTCAACATGCAACATGAAGCATCGGTTAGCGTCTGGAGGTGTCGCGGTCGGAAGAGAAAAAAAAAAAAAAAAAAAAAGGGGGGGGCCGATAGAAAAACAAAAGCAAAACAGCAACAAAAAAGCAAAGACAAAAGCCAAAAACCAAGGGGCCGTACCGCAGTACTGATGCCACTCGATTTCTTTGACATGCGCTCGAGCATCTTGAGAGCGGCTTGCTTTTCTTTGCTTTCGAGGCCCGTAACCGCCGCACGCTGTGACATTCATCATGGTGAGACAGACGAACATGCAGCTGGGAAGTGGGGGCTGGCATCAGGCTGAGAGAGGCAGGGGACAAACCTGCACACGTTTGCCAGCGCGCTTCAGCTTGGCCTCGCCCTTGAGGTCAGTATCAAAAACGCCGGCAGACGCCGTCGAGGTGCGGCCGATTTGAATGGCAGTTTTCAGCTCCTTCTTGATTGCTGCGGGGTTCACTTTACGGCCGGATGCTTGCAATCGTGCGGCAGCAATGTTCTTGATGCGCTGTCCCTCATTTTTCAAGACGCGATTCTTTTTGGCATCAGACAACTCTTGGAATTTGTCAACGTAAGGGTCTAAGAACATATTTGAGCGCATGAGTCAAAGAATTATTTTCAAGTTTGCCCCACAAGCCTGGAAGGCACGGGCCACTTTGCGAAATACAGATGATATACCTTCATTATCTTTGAGCTCAACCCAAGGCCAAGCAGAGTCATCCTGCTTGGAGCGCTTGTAACCGTAGCGAGGGCGATATTCCTACAATTGCGATAATGTAAGGCGGGAGTCGGCATGAATAAGCACAAAAGCATAATAGCTTGAACATCCTATGAAAAATTGTGAATTTGCACTGCTTATGCCAATAACGCACGCCAGTTGCTTCATCGTAGACCATGCGTGAACGCTTTGACTTTTGAATGCCCTTCATTTCGGCAAACTTTTCCCAGCGAGTTTGGGCGCGATCCTCAGGAATCTGTCATATTGAGAGCGCAAGCGTCGGTGTTAGAAAAAGCAAGGCTGAAATGCATCTCGTTGTCAAGATTGAAAGGTATGTAAACGACGTTGGAACTCGATCAACATGAGGGAAGCAACGTACTGGTTTCTCGCGGGGGATGCGGCTGGCTGGGCGGGGCATGGTGGCAAACACTCCTTCCTCTGTCTTGTCCACCGGCAGCTGTACGGGGTGGGACGCGAAATTGTGAGGTCGCGCAAATGTGAGGCAAACAACAAGCCGAAAGGAACGACACTCCTCCATTGGTCTAAAATCGGAGCCACCTGGCTGACCTGCATGATGGAGTTGAGAAGCAGTTGAACGTTGTCTCGTGTGTAAGTAGTCAATGCCTCACGACGTGACGAGCCTCTGCAGACGATGATGCATGTGCCGATGAGAAAAGATGGAATGCGCGTCTGGAAAACGATTGGGATGGCAAGATAACGTACAGGAGCTTGCCCAAGGGCACCTCTCGGACATCAGTGCCCGCCATGTTGCCAGCGTCAATGTCATATTCCTACGCGCCAGGCGCAAACGGGCGAAGAGACTCGGGGGTCAGAAGGCGGCATGTGGCACTCTCGACCTTGCGATGCACCCCGCTGAGTCGCTGTGTCAGGGTGGTCGCACCTCAACGCGTTCAATATTGACGAGAGCGGCCTTTGCAGCGGCAGCTTCGCGCGCCGCCTCCAAGGCCTCCATTCTGATGCTTCAGGCTTCAAACACACCACCTCAAAATCCAGACGCTCTTCCCGTTTGAATGCTCACGATAGGGCGGCGCTCGGTCGCGTCTTGTGCACAAAACTTGAACGCTGCAGGTTTACAGTCACACACACACACACGTGGTGACAGAGAAAAGTGCGCCCCCACACAGCTGGGGAACAAGATGTCAGACAGAGAGGATGCGTTGTCAGCAATTTTCAAGAAGCTAGAGAAGAGACGCAAGCATCACACTTTAAAAGCGTGAAATGAAGCACGAACACAGTGATGATATGCGAGTCCATGCCTACTATCGGGTGGTAGGGGCGCTTTTGCGGGTAGTCAATTTGTCTTTCAACCTGGGGCAACTGGCACAGCGAGGTGCGGCACACTCGAACAGAAAAGCAAACAAGACCTTTTTACACGAAATGCCACCGACATAGACACGAGGCGTTTGCTATGATATACAGGCCTCGAATTGTAACATGAGAAGGCGACCCTTGAGGTCCTTTTTACGGGAGGAACAGGGGGAAAAGAGAGAGAGAGAGAGAGAGAGAGAGAGAGAGAGAGACTCAGAAGGCGACGAACGGATTGCCGATGCCCGTTTCCGTTTGGCTGGCGCATCATCCCACGCTCCCCGCTTGTGCGGCGCGATCGTGCAGGCATGACTGTGGTGCTGGGCGGAACCTCCTCTACGGAGAGCATTGAGGGCGCTCTGGGCGGTGACGAACCCTCCTCCACCACTATGGCGAGCGCGCTCTCTGGAGCATTCTGCAAGGCTGAGAATCGGCGAGTGCGATGGGACACAATGTCTTCTTCGTCATCGGAAGACATGACCTCGGGCGAGCCAACCGCGTCCACGCTGCCACGGCATGGGTTAGAGCCATCTGTGGAGGTCCGACTACGCGGTACTGAGGGCAGCGATCCGTTGCGGGGCTCTATCGTCAATGACTTGGCGTTGAGGCGGTCCTCGAGCGCATTGCGCGTTGCGCGAGTCTCAAAGTCGTACATGGTGCACATGGTGTGCCGGAACAACTGGTCCAACGAGGGCAGCAGACCAAGGTCACTCCAGGGGTAGTCGCCGTCCTGGCACTTGGGGATGACGGCAAGCATGGTTGCCAGTTTGGCAGTTGTCTCAAAGTGGACGTGAGCTGCCTCTTTGCTAGAAACGGTGGCTTTGGCGTTGCCCGTGGTCCGCGTGCGCTCGATGCCAGTCAAAAAGCTTCCCAGAAAAGGCACACAAGGTCCACGTGGATCCTCAACCACCCGATCCATGATCGTGTTGTACATGCCATTACCGGGCTCAGCCAAAGGGGCGAGCTTGGCTTCAAAGCGATCAATCAACACAGGGTGCACGCTGCGCGCCCGCGCCCAGGTGTGTTTGAGGCGAGCCACATGGGATAGTTGCAGCGCTGTCATGACAGCCATGAATCCTTGGTAATCTCGCAAGACTGGACCTTGCAGAAAGTCGGCCATCTCAATACACTTGAGCAAGATGCGAGTCCGAGTCTCGATATCATCGCAAGAGACAATGCAATCAACTAGCCAGTAGGTGATTTGATTGGCGTGCTTGATAAAGGCGGTTCGATCGACGCTCGCACTGGCAAAGAGGTCCCGCAGAGACATTTGCGCAAAGCGGGAGAAGTTCACAAATGTCAAGTGGGCAGCCAAAAGTTGAGCATCAAACTGGCGCATGGGTTGCAGGCGCAAGTTGGAAAGCTGAACGTGATCCAGAGGACTACTCTGCTCCGCCTCAAGGAGGTTGTCACTGCAGTGACGGGCCGTGCGCACGAGTGACGGCGCCATGACGGCGTGCGGCGAGCCTTTGATCAAGCCCACGAATTCATGGAGACGACGCAGCGCCGGATTGGGCCGCATGTCGTTCCCAAATGGCCAGTTGTCGGGCAAGGCGCTGGACAGATCATCCACTGCAGCTTCAAGCACAAAATCAGCCGAGTCACTGTCTTTGGATGCCGCAAGTTCTTGGGTGACAAAGTCGAAGCGGAAGTAGTGTTGCAGCCAGAAAGCAACGAACTCGCACACTCGTTCGCAGGTCGTGCGCGATGTTGCGTTTTCGCTGTATGCATGTGCAGCAAAATGTCGCTCAAACGTCGCCAGCAGATCTGCAGGCTCGATCTTGAAGGTGGTGCGGTAGCTGGCCAGGAAGCCGTCCCAAACCTCGGTGCTGGTTCGCGGCTGGCAGAGCATTTCCACAACGTACTCTACGGGGGCGTGATCATCGGTGGAGGGTTGCTTGACAAATTTAGCAGCCGCGTTGTGCTGTCCTTCAGACACGTTGCCAAAAAGCAGACCACTGCATTCCTCCATGATGCGCAGAATAACGATGGATCCCGGTCGACGGCCCAAGTTCTCTGACTCGCTCGTCTCGGGTACAATGTGCTTTGTCACCACAGCGTAAAGCTGCATGACTATTTCACGTCCCACTCGGCACTTGCGCAGAATGGCAGCAAAAGCCGAAGAGCGATCAACCTCCGACACAGCAAAATCAGACTGCAGTGCCGTCTCCATGCAATCCACACGATATTGTTTGACGTTTAAAATCCACAAAACACTGAGCGTCGTGAAGGAGTGCAAGTCCAGCTGTATGCGGACGCCGAGGAAGGAACACAAGGAGAGGGCAGAGGCGCGTGAGCTTTTAAAAGAGAAGGAAGAAGACGGGGGAAAAAAACAGAAAAAGAAAAAGAAAAAGAAAAAAAAAAGGAAAAGAAAAAGAAAAAGAAAAAGAAAAAAAAAAGGAAAAGAAAAAGAAAAAGAAAAAAAAAAAAAAAGCCAGCGCAAGCAGAGATGGTTTTGCGTGGCCAATAAAGAGCGGCACAGTAACAACAGGGGCAAGAGCATGGCACATACGTGGCCTGAAGCGGCGGTGAGGGCTACATATGAGTCCCCCAGAAGCTTGGTAAATTCCCGGCCGAGCTCTGGTTCATCTCCAGCCGAGATATGGGAAGGTAGAATATCAAACACAATAGCCACGCGGCGCAACATCTTGGTCAGCTGTACGTGGGCCCAACGACGCCCACGGCCGCCCAGCACCGTTTTCAGCCGGGCATGTGCACCGCCCTGTTCAAACTTGCTCTGCTGATTGCGAACGATATCTGCAGCTGTCAGTTCCTTCCGTCGCAAGCTTGACAAATGGCTCAGGCGCAGACAGTGAGCCACGGTCGGTTTCAAAAGGTCACAGGACATCTGGAGGACCTCGGGTAGGCAGTGGCGAGCGTCCAGTTCATCATCTAGCTTGACCTGCAGCTTGCTATCGAATACGGCGTCTGGACAGCCTGCTGTGCGTAGTTGCATGGTCAACTGGTGTTCCAACGGCCGCGTATCCGCTACGCATGTAAACGTGCCACGATAACACGGGGACGACTTGAGAGCTCGGTCGCAACTATCACGCAGCGTTTGGAGCTGACTTGGTGTCATGGTATCGGCCTTGTTGATGATCACAAAGAGGGGGCATCCGGCCTCAACAGCGCGTCGCGCAAACTGCTTGAGATAATTTTCATCCAGAGCCTGCCACACCGGGGAGCTGACGACGTACCAAATGGCGTGAACCAGCTTTTGGAGATGACCGAGTTTGAACTGTTGGGCAATGAGCTGTCCAATGCCCAGGGAGGCGTCGAGCTCGTCCGACGGGTCCAGAGAGACGGTGTCCCACATGGCGAAAGCACCGCCGTTGTCTCGATACTCAACCGGGCGTGCCGGGTCGATGCATTCTTCACGCTCCAAATTGGCTCCAAAAGCGGCGTTGATGACGCTGTGTTTGCCAACTAAGCGCTGGCCAATCAGCAAGATGTTGGGGGTCGTAACATCACGAATAGCTTCTTTGAAGGTAGCGGCATAGTTTTCCTGCAGCTCCGCCGTGGTCACGCTGGGCAGTATGCTGCTTGGTTCTACGCTGCCGTCGACGCTTGATCGTGCACCACGGGTGTTCGGGGTGACACCGTTGAGTGCGACGGACATGGCGGAGGCAGGAGTGGTTGCTGCCGGCTGATTGGCGGTTTGCATGCGGAGGGTGTCATCCTCGCTGGTGCGCTTGCGAGCGACACGTTTTTTGCGACGGGTGCCACGTCGGTCCGTCTCACCGAAAGCGGCCAGCGCCAGGAGCTGAACGTGTCGGCACATGACGTGGGGCACCTTACATGTAGGAGCACCGCGGCCACGAGGCGGCTCGTGCTTGTCCGTGATCAGCGTGACCTGACTTTTGTCGCCAATGATGTACCGATCCACCTCCTGTTCAAGCGAGAAGGCGAGGCATGCGACAGGGTGGGAGGTGAGCACAAGCCCGGGATGTGATTAGTTCAGTAGGTCACACTCGTGCTGCGACGTGGCTACCAAGGGCCTGCACGTCAAGACTCACCTCGCATCCGATATGGTTGCCCTGGATATCGAGGCGATAAAGACTGGTGCCAGTTTCCAGTTGTTCACGAAGGGTGGCCGACCCTTCAGGTCCAATGCCATTAGACTTGAGACTGAGGAGGCGGAGGCTCTCTGACTTGCTTAAAAGTTTGCGGCAAATGCTGCTCACCCCCATATCCCCGACCGTGTTAAAGTCCAGGACCAGAGTGACCAGGCTTTGATTGGCGGCCATGCTGTCGCAGAGTAGCTCGCAGCCTCGAGCATTTAGGCCGGAGTGACTAAGATCAAGTTCGGTGAGTTGGCGCAGACGGGAGAGGCCAACACCAAGGGATTGCTCAAGGGCTGAGTTGATCTGGAGTTCAAAGCTGTTGATGACCAAGGCACGCAGGGGGCAATGGGTACCCAAGCTCTGGAGGCTGAAACCCACAAGACCGAGGATGGAGCGTTTGACGGGCGTGCTGGAGGATGCCAAATGGTCCGAGTCTTCAATGTGCAAGTCGGTGCTGGTGGCAAAATCAAATGCCGCACCGGAAATCTGACTGAGCATTTGTTGGGCCATTTCATCTTGTTCGGTCATGAGGGCCGCAATCTGCTGGCGAGTGTTGGTGTTGGAGGCATGGGATTGGGTAGCAAGCGAGCGAGATTCGCGGCTGCTGCAGCGCGAGCTGCTCTGCTGATTTGAGTCCTTGTCGACGGTGCTGTGCCGACTATGATGCGATCAGGGCACAGCGAAAGCGAGAGGTCAGTCCAGGAAACGAAGGCCCGGAGGGTACTAAGCCAAAAACAGATAACACCATGGACCACAACACCATTTGATATCGAGCAACAAACAGCTGCCAAGGCAACGTTGGCTGATGAACGTACTCGGCATGGGCTTGATTGATGTGATCAGCAATGGTGCCGGCCCGGCCACGAAAGGCAGGTGGGTGGGGCGGCTCAGTGCTCAGGCGGGCCAAAGAATCCATGTCAGAAAGTTCGCTCTCCTCTTCATTGATGGTGACGGGCGGGCTATCGACCGTGATGGGCCAGCTAGAGGAGCGTCGCCGCAAAGGCATTTCGCTACCTTCACCTGAGTCACGATGGGATGGCAATGGCCCGTTGAGAGAGGCGTTGTCAGCCACGCTGCCAGTGGTACCCATGAGCATTTCTGTCATTTGCTCGGCGCGATTGAGGAGTTCCATAACGCGCAAGCTCATGGTGGTGCGCACTTCCCGATCCATCGCCTCTGCTTCCTGCCCACCGGGTTCATGTCATTTCATGGGAAAAAATTGATGCATGAGTGAACAGGTAAGGGAAGGGGCGTCAAGCAGCTCTGGGGAGAAGTGAAGGGGTGTCGTCTGCGTCTTCCAAGGGGGTGGATGCCGATGCACGGATGTGCGTCGTATTCAATCGAAGAAAAGATGGCGGCCGTGGGGACTCACCAGTTCCATAAAAAGATCACATGAATCGATGAAGCAGTCCTTGGCCGCGGCATATTGCTCAAGCGTGGCAAAGTGCTCGCCTTGAGCGGCCAATTCCTCAGCCACTTGGCGGTGATGCTCAAAGAGATCGACACGGATGCCGGCAATGGACGACGAAACTTGCTCCAGCTAGTCAGATAGGCAGAACGAAATTCCATCAGGCTGGCTGAGCAGGCACACAAGGGCAGACGACTCGGATGCGCAGTAATTTGGGTGGGGCGGAGGGCGGACCAGTTGTTCAGCTGCTTCGCGGTGTTGGTCGTTGCTGGCCAATGCGGGGTCTTGGAGGATGTTGTCAAGCCTAGCCCATGCACACCATCCAGCATGCAAGTCGATTCAAATTGAGTCGGTTTGAAACGGTTTGCCCATGTACTCAGAGCTGGGCTGGCTAAACGGACGGACACCGGGCACCAGGCACCGGGGACGCTGAAGCCAGGCTTCCAGGCTGGGAGAGGTAAGGGACGCACCGGGCCAGCGCCGATTGGTAGATCTCGTCGGCTTCATCAAGGCGGTTCTAGTTCGGCGGGCGGGCGGGGGGCTTGGTCAAGCAGTGTCTCTCGCAAGTCATCGCATGCCGGTGGGTGGGCCGCATACCTGCTGCTCCACGACGCGTGCTAGGCTGATGAGTTCCTGAGCGCCTTGCATGAGATCTTCATACTCGTAGGAAGCAAACTTTTCTAGGCTGTTGGGCGCTGGGGGATCGTCATCGCTGGCATTGGCGGCCAATTGTGGCCCGCGCAGCGGAAGTTGAGCCTCCATGCTCTATGGTGAATCGGCACTTATTGCTGTTTGAGCGGTGCGCTGTTGTAGAAACGGGAGCACATGTGGGATACCAAAGGCCCTTGGCCACTCTCAGCTCGTCTGCGGCAGTCATTTAAAAATCGAATGTTAGCTGTGCCGAAGCCAAGATACCCAGCCGACTTTACATCAAGAGAATTCGAGCCAGCAGTCGGCACACCAAGAGCCTTTCAGCGGCAAAACCCACCCTAATCGTGTGGTGAGGGAGATCGAGGATGGGGAAGAGGCGGATGTGCTCGCGTGCACAGGCGCACCGGTACCGCGAGCGCGAACGGCCCAAGGGTCAATCGGGGAAGACTGCCGAGCCGCGGAACCAAGAACGCAGACCACGAAGCAGCGATGATGGGGTGAATTGCCCACACACAGCTCGAGACCAAACAAACCGGACGTGCCAACGCTCTGAACTCGATGTGTGTGTGTATGTGTGTGTGTGTGTGTGCCCCGTCGGATCGTTATGTGCTCGCCAGTGCCATTGTGGCGCGCGAGTCATGTCCGCTCACCTGCTTGAAGCTCGAGTCGCCATTTTTTTCTTTTGGCTTGCTTGTTGGTGTTGACCTTTGCTTCTGCTCTGAAAGTGGGGCAGAGGTTGTGGATCCTTGCGCCAACCTTGCCAGAGGCAGAGAACAGATGGAAGAAGTCTTAACTGGGAATGACAAGCGATTTCAGAGATACGGTGCGAGATGGGGAAAAGCGAAAGAGGGTGCATGCATGTCAGCAAAAAAGTCATTGGTCCGGTTGTCCGCACATTGAAAAGCATGACCACGGTCACACTTTGATAAATTACAGTCACCAGTCTTCCGGGGGACGAGAAGACTCATACTTATAGTGTGACAAGCACCACACTATCCATGGTCTCAAACCCAAGCCTGCCACACGTGACGCGGTCCAACACCACACCTGCCACATACACACACACCACTGCCACAAGGGCGACCAAGGGCCAAGCGCCACACACAAGTGTTCATCGTCAAGCGTAGATGGTTTACGTGCATTCCGCCTGCCATTTCCCCCCTTGCACCTCCCGCCGCCCTGCCCTTCAGGTATGAGAGACCTCGCCCTCTGTGTGTGTGTGTGTGTGTGTGTGTGTGTGCGTGTGTGTGTGTGACCGTTGCAACCGTTACAAGAACGTAACAGGGGGAGGGGAGGGGCGGTCGCCTCACTCGCTGTTGCCGGTCCCTGGAGCGCTCGATCCATCCTTGATGGTGTGCATTCGTTGCCATCGTTGCGGCTGTCGCTGCCGTCGTCGGTTGCCGTGTGCTTGCTCCCCGGTTTTGTTTCTCCAACTACCTGCCATTTGGAAGCTGTCATTTGCCTGGTTTTATGCTTCCTCGACTCCACGCCCCGGGCGGCAGTGAGACTCCCGCCTTCCCTCGTTCTCGATCTCTCTTTCTCGATGCTGCCTGGTTTCAAACGCCTTTTCCTCTTGTTGTATCCCGTGTGTTGGGTGGTGTCCATGGCATTCACCTGTCCATGATCTTCTCCTTCCTTGTTGAAGGATGGCGCCTTCCTTGTCCGGCTCCAGCCACTCATGGTCACGTTGCCCGCGTCTCCTAGGTTGTGTGACAAAAAATAAGGCAAGATGGTCAAGCGCAAGTGTGTGGTAGAGGGCTGTACGCAGACATGCCACAGCGCCGCTGCTCTGGCCCTGCACCTTGAGGTGGCACACGGCCTCAACCCCAAGGAACATCTTGGGCGCACCGCCCGCACGCTGATCCGCCACATGTGTCCCGTGTGCAGCTACATTTCTTACGATCCCGCTCTCTATCAGAGACATCTCGAGGATCACACGCTGGCCCAGCTCAACACGCGCCGCGATGCTCTTTTGCCCATCTGTTGCCGCAAATGCCGCATGATCATTGTCGCCCAGAATGTTCGCCTCTATCACGAGCGCTCCTGTGATGCCGTCTCGACCGGCCGTGGGCTGAAGAAGCGTACGGCTGATTTGTTCAAATGCCGCAACTGTGGTCACAGCTTTCGTGCCGTCCGCCAGCTCCTGACGCATGCCAAGCTATGTGGGCGTGCAGAAGCCGCCGCTGGCAGTCACGGTGGACACGCATCGGTGCGTGGCGCTCTTCTTATGGTCATGAAGAAGGGCCCCTTAGCAACGTGTTTGAAGGGTCTGAACCAGCACGCAGTCGCTCACCGACCACGCTTTGTGACCACCACGAATATTTGTAGGTGTTTGATGACCTGTCCATGGAGAAGCAGCTCGGGGGTCTGGAGGAGTATGGTGCCCATGGCATGGACGCTGGCTATCTGGGTGTGGATGGACAAGGGAACAAGGACTTTGAGCTCTCATCGAATCCCTCGCTCGCCAACGCCGTCAACCGCATCCGTGTCAAGATGGAGCTGTGTTGCAAGGCCACCAAGACGGCCGATCACGAGAGCATCCTCCTCTCCCGCCTCAACCAGATTGAGCAGGTGGTGACCGATCTCACCAAAATCTTCCAAGACGACACCCAAGCCCAGGGTCTCGGCGTTAATCCCACTGCACGCCGCACCCAGCGCTCGGCCGCAGGCGCCACCGGTAGCAACTACTCCAACCTCATGATGAAAAAGGCCAAGAAGTAACGCCGTTGATAGATGTGCGGTTGACGGATGTGCGGTTGACGGATGTGCCGATGACGGATGTGCCGTTGATGTGCCGTTGATGTGCCGATGATGTTGATGTGCCGCGCGCCCCCCCCCTTCCCCTCTGCCTCGTTTGAAGCCACCAAGCCTGCACGCCGTGTTTCGTCGTGTTGACAACGCGTGTTCCGTGCGCCATGCCATGTTCCCTTGTTCAAGTGTTCCGTGACTTGTATCTTGTTTCTCGTTGATGTCGTCCTCAGTGCCGGTCGAGGCTGCTTTTGTCGCCTCCCATTACCTTCTGTTCTGTGAGCTTGCCTTTTGGGATTTGGGAATGTTCTTTGTTTGGCAAGGGCACGTTCAACATGGGCCCCAAAGCGCGCTCACGCACGCCCGTCCGGGGGGGGGGGGGCGCAGAGAGCAAGCAGTTTACACTCACACGGACCAGAAAAACAAAAAAAAAATCAGATTCTTCCATGCCTGCAGACTTTGACGTGTTCATCACCACAACAACAAGTGATGTCATCCCACCCAACCGACCATCACTTTACATCACAGCCATAAGCACCAATATGGCAGCCTGTTTGCTGCACGGCAGTGCGACGCGTCATCTGACGACCACAGACGCAACCGTGTGGACCCGTAACCCACCCATCCATTCTACACTTGATGTGCCATACCGCCCACACGAAATGTAAAAACACCCAACAGGTAGCACCCAACTTGCAGCCGCCTCTTTTGGTCTGGAAACATCCAGTCCCAACCCACGCCCAAAGCATCGCCAAGGCCAAGACCAAGACCACGCTGCAGGCACCAGTCCGTTCCGTCATCACCCCAGACCGCGCTGCCGTTGATCGAGCGAGATCAAGATTAATAATATTAAGCTTTTGGTGTTTGTCCTTTTTTACAAAGATGAGTCAGAGAGAGAGATAGAGATGGAGATGGAGGGAGAGAGAGAGAGATTGAGAGAGAGAGAGATTAAGAGAGATTAAGAAAGAGAGTGTGTATGAAGAGAGCGAGAGAGAGATTAAGAGAGAGAGAGAGAGGAGCAAAGAGAGAAATGAATTGGTCTGAGAAAGAGAGAAAATAAAGAGCAAAGAAAGACACAAAAGGGGAAAAGCACAACTACCACAAACCGCAGAGAGAGAAGTGAGTAAGTCTCTCTCTCTTTCTTTTTCCCTTCCTTGACAACACGGTGCATAATATCCGGATGTACGTTATGAACGTCAGCTCCTCCTTGCTCCCTCCCTCCTCTTCCCCCTTGCTCCTTCCCTCCTTCCTTCCTTCTTCTTCTTCTTCTTCTTCCTGCTGGCTGGCTGGCTGGTTGGTTGGCTGTTTTTGGCTGTGGAGTTGGCGCTCTTGGGTCTGCTGTTGTAGCTGCTTCTTTGCTTCCTGTGTGTCGCTGGCTGGCTTGCCTAGCTCTGGCCTGACCCCGCCTTTGCTGCCGTCCAGCTGGGGGTTTTTTTAGGGGACTTGTTGCACGCGTCTTCGCCACCATTGCCTCGCCGTCGGCCTCCATAGCCGCCGTGCGCCGGTCGTCGTCTTCTTCTCCTCTAACGCAGCCGCTCCACCAGAGATTGAAAAAATAAACAACTCTCGAGGGCTTGCTTCCAGGGGCCCAGCACGCGCGGGCGCGCCGGTCATGCATGCTCCGCATGAATCGCTGCAGTAGCAGCCGCGAGACTTTAGCATCTGAAAAGGCCCACGTCGTTGTCGCGTCGCGGCTTTCCGGCATGAACCCGACAGATGTCCCGCTGGTCACTCGGGCAAGGCCCCAGCACGCCAGGGCTGCCGCCATGCTTTTTGATGCAGCTGATGCCAACGCCGACTCGGACGACGAGGCCACCCTCCCGACCCCGGCCCGCCTCTTCACCTCACACTCCTCATTTGATTTGACCGCCGACCTAGCCGCGTTTGCACCAGAGCCCTCGTCAGGCGCCAGCTCACCCGAGCCCTCGGATGTGGTCACCTCCCTGCTCGATACCGACTCCGACTCGCCCCTTCACCCGTTGGTGCCCACTCCCCCGCGCTCCCGTCTGCGTGAGCGGAAAAAACCTGCCAATCCGGCCAATTTACCTGCCCCAGTACCTCAAAGCCACGGCAAAAGCGGTGGTGCCCGCCCAACGGCTGGGCGACCGAATACACCCCCTCACGTCCGCCGCCGCCGTCTCAGCGGCCTGCTCAACGTCAACTCCGTTCAACGGGCCGCCCAGGCTGCCAGTCAGTCTGTGCGCATGCGCCGTTCTAGTCCTCGTACCGCCCTGCAGGATGCATCCCAGGTACCCATCATCTCCACCTTTGCCGTCCAGCCCACTCGTGGCTGACAAGCCTGGGATGGCTACCTGTTTTCGCGCGCGAGGGCGGGCAGAGCGAGCTATGGCATATCCCTCACGCTTCCATCGCCTTAGAGTCAAGGCATGTTATCAAGCAGCCTTTTCCCTCCCATTAAAGTGGCCAGTCGCCCCAGCTCAGGTCTGCCATCATGTTTCAAGCAGCCCTCGCTTCAGAAGCCAATGGGTCAACCTCACCATTTTTCGTCTTCCTTGTCAACTAATCAAAGCAGCCTCTGCCACGGCCGAAGCCGCCTCTAGCTTTAAACAACAACGCCTCACGCCCTCCTTCTTTCACCAACACCATGGCGCCAGCCCCAGTACGCGGCGCGATCTCGAGAATGATGCACGACATTCTGTAGCTAGCAACCCTGCTGCCCATGTTGTGTGTCGTACACCCTTGACCTTGACCTTGCCCCCGCCCCCCCCTTTTTTTTGTCAGGACAAGACCGACCCACAGGACGACAATTACAATTGCTGGGCCTTCAACGCAAACGCGCCCGCACCGAAGCTCTCGCCTTGAGCCCACAGTATGTACAAAGCTTGCTTCTGATCGGGTGGCCGCCTTTTTTTTTCTATTCAGATCGTGTCAGTTGTCGCGAAGAAACTTGCCTTATTTCGATGAAACATCTATTAATCATCACTCAGGTTGGTCGGTGACCCTGTGCTTGAGCCAGTGGATGCCATGATCACCGCCACGAGCTTTCCTCGTCACTCAAGTGAGCCTGCTCCACTGACTCCGAAGGTACAGCCGCTTGCTTGCCCACACCTCCCTGCCGACCACGGGATAGCAAAGCATGCCTTCGCTTCGAGGCACACAATGTCAGGCAAAATAAATTCGCCTCTGACATGCAATCGCCTTGGCTGTCAACCTTGCAGCGAATAGCTCCAGTTCCACCCATAGCCATGGGCCCACAAGGTCAAGAGGATCAATCTCTGAAAGAATGCCCGCCTGAGGATGGGCGTCCCACCATGGCCAGCACAGCCCTCGAGACCATGTCAGGGCCTTTAGCTACGGCCAACACAGCATCTGTCGCCACCGTCGCCACCGTCGCCATCGCCGCCACCGCTGCCACCGCCACCACCGCCCCGGGCCAGCACACCACTACAGCCCTGGACCAGGATGCCATTGGTATAGCCATTGATACACCCGTTGGTATTGCCAGTTCGAGCCCCAGCGCTTCAGGCAGCAGTAGTCTCCGTAACGTGGTTGGCTCCAAGCAAACAGCGTTTTCTCCACGCACTACTGGTGATCGCATCATGCTGCCCGTAAGCCCATGCTTGATAGAACCCGGCGGCGTTTCTCGTTCCCCTTTCAGCCCCTCCTCGGATACCAGCGGCCTGTACGACCTCTCTTCTCACTCACTACTTTTTCTTTCTTGCTTTCTGTTCGTCTGTTTTTTTTTTTTTTTCCCTTCTTTTTGATTAATTATGTCATTTCTTTGGTCCAGCGTGCCCGCCGTACGCGCACACGTGCTTTGACCGAAGCCTCGGCAGATACCAACGTAGATATTGATGCTCTTTTAGCATTGGATCGTAAATTTCGACAGGCAGAGACACTTGGTGCCCCCTTGGGCTCCACTCTCAACGAGCGTGCTGATAGTTCGGCCATCTGCAATGCTGCGCCTTTTGTGGAAGGCTCGCCAACCCAGTCCCCGCTTGGACTTGAGGCGCAGCCTGTCACTTCCGAGGAAGCTTCTCCTCCCGAGTCGATGACGGATGCCCATGTCGAAGAGGTGCGTGTGTGTATTCGGGCGTGGCTCTATGCTAGCGCTGCGCATTTCCATGCTAGGCCTCTGCGCCATTTTGAAGGCTGATCACGATCTTGTTCCTGTTTCATTATCTGAGCAGTTGCTTTCTAAACTGCCAAACGAGATTGCAAAGAATGCCGAGGATGTGAAATTCATCAACTTTATCATCCGCTTGCCCATCAATGCGCGAGTGCTCCTTCTTCGGGGTCAACGAGATCGCGATGTTTTAGTTGTGGCCGACAGCTCTCGGGTACGCAAGCACGCCCTGAAAGTTTTTTTGAATACTCCGGACCATATTTTTTTTTCTCGCTGCCTCACTTTTTTGTTGATCGAAATTTGTCTCGACAGCGCTCAGATAACCGTTATCAATGCCAGCACTGCTTTCCCGTTCGGGTTGGCGGGGGTTACGTGTTCATCGGTTTTGCCAACGGCGACGGCCTCTGCATCGAATGTGGACGTGCGCTCAATTTCAATCTCAATGAAGAGCGCCGTCGACGCCAGTTCGAGTGGGCCAATGAGTTTGAAAGCAAGTTTGGTAGGTACTTGCTGACAGGACTGCATGTTGAGCCTGCAATCGCCTCACTGTCTGCCCCCCTTTCCACGATAATAGGCGCCGATAATCACTGGGATTTCTGGGACCAACTGGCCGCCTCTTCGCGTCACCGAGTTGTTAAAGTGTCCACGCCGACGGCGCCAGTTACCAAGCCAGCCCGCAAAAACCCCAAACCCACACCGCCCGTCTCTGCTCGTGTATCTGCAGCTGCATCCCGCAAAGCATCTGACGCCAGCCTTAGCAGTGACGCCCCCCCGACTTTGAGCCCGGTGCAAAGTGTCGTTACATCTGTTTCAATGGATGTGCCCTTTGTTGAGGCGGCCATACCTCAGCCACTGGACACACTTACGGACGTGATACCTGATTCCGTGGATATACCTTCGACTGACTCCCAGGAGCCTACGCCTGACCCCACTCAACCAGCCTTGGATGAGCCAGACGACACGGTTGTTGACTCATCCAAAAACACTCAACGATCACGTGCCGACTCCCCAGCAGTGTCTGAGGCAGGCAACCAAGATATGCAAAATCATCCGCTTGCAGCTACTTCGAATCTCGAACCTGAGCTCGAGCCCCACCTTGAACCCGATGTTCAGCTTGAGTCGAAGCCCGATGAGCCTGATCATCAATCAGGCGCACAGCCAGCGGCAGTTGAAGAATCTATACTTGCACCCAGCTCTGCAAAGCAGCCGACAGCCGTGGTTTCGTCGTCAAACGATTGTGCTCTTGAGCCATCAGTCGAGCTCCCACCTCAATGTGCGCCAATGATTGATGAGCCTTCGGTGCCAGAGCCAACAGCAGCACCACAGGAAGAGATGACGGCAGAAGAGGCAGAGGTGGAAGCCGCGCAAGCAAAACCGGCTCGCAAGCGTGCTCCCATGCCTCCGCCGCCACCCCGAGTCAAAGAGATAGACGAGCCGATCGCTTCCCAGACACCTGCGCCAGAGCCAGAGCTGCCATCAGCCAAGCCATCAACACCTCAGCCTCTCGAGGAGCCACCGGTCCCTGTGGTCCGACTCCCGCGACCACCGCGCCCCCCTAAAGGTCGCGGCAAAACCTCCAAGTTGTTTGGTCCCAGATTCAACTCGAGCAAGGCCCAGGCTCCACCTAGCATAACCACTTCCGCTGAAATTTTGCCCTCAACGCCGCCGCAGGTGGTTACTGCGCCTTTACCGGTGGGCAGCGAGGCAGACGATTCGTCTGAGGCGTCTGACAATGGCGAGGGTCTGGAAACGATTGAGACTCGAGGTGGAACAACATCAAAGGTCGAAGCGCCGTCTGATTCTCTGGCTTCAATACGGGCAGCTTTATTGGCAGAGGAGCCTGAAGAGGCGGCTGAGGACGTCAAAGCAAAGCGAAAGCCTATGCCTGGCGCGAGACGGGTGGAAAACAGTCGGCTCGCAGCCCTGCGCCGCATCCCTGCAGGGTTTACGAAGCAACGGAAGAAAAAAACAGCCAGTCAGAGCAAGCTGGCACCCTCGCCCTCGAAGAGTAACGCGGACCAGGCGGGGCTGGCTGCTACGGCAGACTACCTATCGCAGTTTAGCATGTTGGACACGAAGACGACCCACCGCTATAAGCGCATATTCAATGCAGCGGATCGGCGTGGTGCAGGCTGTCTGAGTGCGTCGGAGCTTGGTGATGCCCTGCGCTTGGTCTGCGATGCCCCGATCAGTCAGCGCGAGATGGAGTTTGTGGTGCGGGTACTGGAGCTTACTGATGAGGATGCCATCGACTCTTCGGGCATGCAGCTCAAGAGCTCCCTAAATTTTCGCCTCTTTTCAGTTGTGGCTGCTCTGGCGGAAAAGGTGACTCAGCTGGACCACAAGCTGCGCGCCAACATTAACAGCTTGGACTTTCACGGGCTTGAAGCCAAACTTCAAACCGCTCGTGACCTCTTTTATGTCAACGATATTAAACAAGAGGTATGCCTATCTGCCCGTGACCCGTGAGCCCAAGAGTGAGCATGAGTTAACTGTCATTGTACTGATAATTGGCAATCATGTGCTCGTGCTCTCCGATCAGGGTTCCATCTCGTTTGAGTCCTTGAGAGTCGAGCTTCAGGCCGGCAATGTCAGCGATGCACATCAGGCTGAGGTTTGTTCTACACAATCATTTCTTGCATGGGCAGGGGGAAGGGGAAGACAAGGCCAAGCCTACAAATATTCTTTCCTACTCACCCGTCTGATTGGGGCTACGCAGATCTTTTCCCGGCTTGGGAACGATGGCCTCGACGACCTCTCCTTTATGGAGTACCTAGTACGTGAATCTTGCTCGTGGTGCCCTTGCATTTCTTGCACAATGGAGCTGAAGAGTAATATTGTCGTGGTCATCACATGTGTGCTGGATGCGTGTGCTTACGCGATGCGCTGCTTGCTTTGGCAGGCTTATGTTCCCCTCTTTTTGGACATTCACGATGCAGTGTGCACCAACCCACTGGACATGAGCTTGTTTCGTTGACCCTTTTGTTTGCAGCCCTGCCATAAAAATGCCAGCAGCGAAGCGAGTTTGCTGGTCGGTGCGTTGTGGTGTAAGCCCCATGCACAACCCTAGTATAGCAAACCCTGATGATATGCGTCTGTATAGAGATATGAATTGACAAATGAGTAGCTGATTGGTTTGGTTTGATGTCATCACGGGCGCCTTGAGCGAAGGCGTCGGCAAAATGCCCTTTGTGTGCTTGGGCAAGCGAGAAGCATCAAAAGCGCTTGGAAGTGGGTCAGTGGATTGTCGTGGACCACGTAAAACTCAATGAACGACACTTTCGTCACATTTAGGCCGTCATGGTTGCTTGAGCGAATTCAAACCGCTCTCTAACCTCGGGTTAGATGTTTCCGAGATGCGCAGCTTATGCATCTCGTGAATCAAAGGCGGCCATCACGGAAAGGAAGAAAGCACGCGCATGCGTCATCCTCCATGCACATCAAGACTGGTTTGCTCGCCCTGATTGCTTGCTTTGCTCGGTTGCTGAGATGTTGGGCTGAGAAATGTTCCATGAAGGATTGATCAAGTTGTGGCGGGGAAAAAAAAGAACCAAACAAATGATAACGCCTTAATCACGGCGGCGGTCGTCGTCGTCGCGGCGGTCATCGTCGCGGCGATCATCACCACCACGGCGGTCGTCGTCACGGCGATCGTCACCACCACGGCGATCGTCGCCACCACGGCGGTCATCGTCGCGGCGATCGTCACCACCACGGCGGTCATGGACATCCCGGCCAAACTCATCGCGGCCATCGTCATGGCGCACGGGTGCGTCACGGCGATCATCCTGTCGGCCATAGTCATCACGGCGGCTATAATCATCACGGCGGCCATGGTCATCACGGCGGCCATAATCATCACGGCGGCCATGGTCATCACGGCGGCCATAGTCATCGCGGCGGCCATAATCATCACGGCGACCATAGTCATCGCGGCGGCCATAATCACCGCGGGGTCGACGGTCTATTACAATTGAATGTGCGCGTTTGGGCATCAAGCGAGCGAGAGCAGAGGCAAATCAGATCGAAGAGAGAGTTGCGGCAAACATACCACCACCGCGACCGCCACGACCACCATGTGAGATCTCCACCCTAATTTCACGGCCAAAGGCTGTTCGGCGATTCAGCCCTTGCACCGCGTCCTATTAGGGGGCAACAGCGTGTGCGTTGAGATGAACCAGCCGTGGTGGGAGATACACATCATTAACGATGACAATAGAAGAGAAAGGACAAAAAAACAAACAAAACAGAGGGGCAAGAAGAGCAACGCATGAGTAGACATGATGGCAGTGCGTATACCTCGGCATCGCGCTGATCCTCAAATTTAACTGATACCAAATATATACAGTCAGTGGCAAAGCGAGAGCCGGGTGCGTACAAGTTGTTGCAGTTAATAAGGTAAATAGCGCGAGATCAGCGTGCAAAAAAAAACCAACGTGAGAGATAACCAGGGGCAGACATACCAAAGGCAAAACCCGGAGGCTTGCGAGCCACCCAAACATCGAGCAAGCTGTCGAGCCGTGCGCGAGAGGCAAAGTCAGGCATTGGCAGAGGAAGGGGTACACGTGGCAAGTTGGCCCAGAGACAGAGCGGCATACCGTCCAAACTGGCGGAACTCATTCTCCAGGTCCATCTTCTCGATGTCATCGGGCAGGTTGCCCACAAAGACCTGTCGCGATTGATCCGTGACGGAAGTAAAGACCAGAGGTCGAGGTGAGGGAACAACACTAACAGTCCTGTTGTTGAAGAAGAGATGAAAATACAACTCTGGCTCAAAGCTGGATGTGACGATGAAAATTCCAAGGTTGGCGGCAGCATAGATGGCCACTGAAGCTTCTGGACCGCAACAGAATCAGCGCCCCCGCCTTGTGCATGACCAGAACACCAGTCAAGTCCAGCGGCCGACACTGGGCCATGGCACGGCTATCGCGGCAAGGGTGCCCCGTCTCTTTCATGCCTTAACACACACACACACACACACATGCCATGGCTAGCATGCTCCAAAAGAAGCAAGACGGCCAGGGGAGGAAAATAGGAAGGCAGGGCACCCTCACATCGACAGGCACCGCAGAGCCCAGCGCCAGCACCAGCACCAGCGCTGCCGTCACAAGAGCAAGAACGAGAGCGAGCGCGCGAACGAGCGAGCGCGCACGTACCCGAACACCATCAGCCGCCATTGTGTATGTGTGGAAAAGCCAAGGGAAAATAAGCTTGAGCACGGCACACGGGTGTGGGGTTACCGCGCAAATCACAAGAGGTAACGGCTTCAGCGACCAATTCACATGTGGTAGCACATGTCAGACAATCCGATAACAACAGCTGTTGAGAACCATAGTTGTTGACCATCCTTTCTTGAAGGCAAAGCGATGACCTGTGGTGTCACACTGCGTTACCGCGCACATGTCCATTCCTGGCTTGTGGCCTTTGGAAACAAGATCTGCATCTTCTCATCAATTAGCTGCATAAACTAAGAGGGATGGGGTAAGAATATCGTTGTTTATATCGCTTTGGGGTACACTTACCTCGAGTGACCGGGGCACGTTGCACAGCCGCGTGCTCTCTCTGTGTCTCTCTCTCGTTTATTTTTTTCATTCCTTTCCGAGGTCAGGTCCCGCGCTGTGAAGGAGGGAAGGGGGGTACTGTTGGGACTGGGGCGGTTGCGTTTGGCTGGCTGGGAGGCCGTGGGGTGCGGGCCAGTGGCGGGGTTTGGGATGAGGGGAGAGTGGGGGCGGTGGGATTGCAATTGGTTGTTCGTTCACCTTGACTTTTGCCCCTTTTGTGTTGTGGTGTGTGTTTGCTTCAGGTTCAACCGACAGCATGGCGTCGGTAGGTGCTCTTGGCTCTGGCCGGCGCTCGTCCCGTTCTTCTTCTTCTTGTGATCGGGTAGTTTGGACACTTGGCCTGGGTGGATGATGGTGTCGCATTGACCTTTTGCTGCTTTTCGCCTCGCCTCGGTCTCCTTACTAGAATGGCGAGAGTGCAACCAAGAAGGTCAAGGTGGTGAGTTATTGCTGCGTTGAGCTCAGCCCGTCGTTGGGCATGTGTTTGGTCCTCTTTCTCCTTCCCAGGAAATCTTCTCACCCTCGCCTGCTGACATTGTTGCCACGCTTGTTCTGCAGACCACCGCCGATGGCTCCAATGTTGCTGTCCCGGCTGATCTCGAAAAGCAGATTATCCGTCAAGTTGAGGTTCGTCTGTCGTCTGTCACCCGCCTGCACCTCAGGCTTGAGGCAGGAACAAGTCTGAGCTCCTCGACTCGAGACCGGGGTGACTACCGATTCAGCCTTTGGCCTCGGGTTGCTCTTCCTCACTCAAGGACTTGCACAAATTGTTTTAGTATTACTTCTCGGACCGCAACCTGCCCCGTGATTCCTTCATGCAGCAGAAGCTGAAGGAAAGCAAAGAGGGCTGGATTCCCTTGACCGTTCTGCTGACCTTCAACCGGTACGTTCTTCTGACCCTGCAGCATGCAGCGTGCATCCTTCTAATTTGGAATGAGGCCACATCGGCGTCACCTCACTTTTATATTCCATGATTTTTCGATCATTTTAGCCTGAAGCAACTGTCGGAGGATCCCGAAGTCATTGCTGCCGCTATGCAGACGGTCGACGACCCCCTCGTCGAAGTCAGGTGCGCTGTCTGCTCCATCTTTTGCCCTTTGTCTTTAGCACACGACGATCTCTACAAATCGCTGATTCACCCCTGGGTTTGCGCCTGTGTGCCCACCTATCTCCGAATACCCGGTGCAGCGATGATGGCACCGCTCTGCGCCGCGCGCCCACCAAACCCTTGGAGGATCAGAAGGACCTGAACGAGCGTTCCATTTATGCCAAGGGCTTTGATGTCGAGAAGCTCACCATCGACTATGTGCAGGTGGGTGTCGACTTGCAGTCCTCGCCACCCACCTCTCTTTCCATTTGGTCGCCTCACTCGCCTATTTTGTTGCACAGACCTGGATCTCCAGCATGGGCTGCTTTGCCGAGTCTGTTTCGCTGCGCCGCAAGCTGGGCAGCCGTGAGCTGAAGGGCTCGGTGTTTGTTCAGTTGAGCTCTCGCGACCAAGCCGAGAAGATTGTTGCTGAACCTCGTGAATTTGATGGCAACAAGATCTTCGTGGAGACCAAGCCTGCCTACCATGAGCGCAAGCGCGATGAGCGTCGTGACAAGCGCATGGCCAAGAAGCAAAAGGAGGACGAGTGCGTAGCCGCTTGGTCATGGCGGGGGGCAATTCACTCACAGAAAGACGCTGCGAGTGTGACTTCTTGCTTTCGTATTGCAGCGGGTTTATGTTCACCGCCCTTGTGCCCGCTCTTTGGCTTGTCTCCTTTTTCTCCCTTTGATTGCTACTGTACTCATAGGAAGAAGATGCAGCTCAAGTACGAGGCTGTCGAGGCCACCATGACCAAGGATGCCGTGGTGAAACTTGAGGACCTGCATGAAGACTGCAGCCGCGAGGACCTCAAGGACGTCTTTGAGAAGTTTGGCGACGTGGCTTGGGTGGATTACACCCGTGGTGAGCCAACTGCCCACATCCGTTTCAAGGAGGAGGGCAAGGCTAGCAGCGCTGTCCAGGCTCTTACGGAGAGCAACGCTACCATCAAGGACAAGCCCGTCAAGGCCGAGGCGCTCAAGGACCAAGAGGAGAAGGAGTACTGGGTCAAGATGGAGGAGGACCGTCAAGCCATGCGCTCGCGCCGTGGTGGTGGCCGTGGTGGCCGTGGCGGCCGTGGTCGCGGCCGTGGTCGTGGTGGTCGTGGCGCCAAGCGCAACAAGTAAAATCAAACCATCCTACGTCATCTCAAAACTGTTGTATGAGTCGACAACTTGCTGCTCATTGCATCTCGTGTCTTCTATCCCTGGGTCTTGTCACCCATGCGCGTGGATGCTGACACGCTCGTTGTTGTTATCGCTTCCACTGCGTGCTTGTTTGCGGTCAGCTCTGCTTGTTGAAAGCGGCTTGGACACCTGTCTCTAACCCGAGTGAAGCCCTCCAGTGTTATTGTTCATGTATTTTTGCTGTGTGTTGGTCGGTGCGGTCGTCAAGCTGAGGTGACGACAAACATGTCTCTTTGTATCTCTTTTTTTTTTAGAGGATGGACTCAATCCCCTCAATCCCACGAGTGAAATCAAAAACCTTCTGCATCTGCATGTGTCGACCTTATGGCCCTGCAAGCGCTTGCCAAGAGCCCATTTGCACCTCCGATGGCATACCATACTTCCGCTTGCCATTCTCATCTCATTCCACACACACACACACACACACACACACACACACACACACACACACACACACACACACACACACACACACACACACACACACACACACACACACACACACACACACACACACACACACACACACACACACACACACACACACACACACACACACACAAATTATTTTGTTTTGAGGTGTGTGTGTGACTTTTTTTTTTTTTTCAGAGAAATGGCTGACATGCGTTTGTGGTCCTGCTGCTGCTGGAAAAGCGTCCTGGCAGCGGCGGTGACGGCGCTGATGGTGGTGAGGGTTGCCGGGGAGAAAACGGATCAAGCTGCTGGCAATCAGCACCGCCGGCCAAATGTGGTCATTTTTCTGCTGGACGATAACGGCTGGGGTGATGCCGGCATCAACGACAATAGCGTTACTGAAACACCTTACAAGCTCGCCGAGCAGGGGCTCACCTTTTCGGATTTCCATGCAGCAGCCTCTGTTTGCGTACGGCCACATCGCCGCTAATCATGTTCCATGTTTTTGTTAACTCTGCGCTCGAAAACCTTCTCGCGCCACCTGCTGTGCACAATCTCACCGAGCACCCGCCGGCTGGGTTTGCAGACGCCGAGCCGCGCCGGACTGCTGACAGGACGGTTGGTCACACCCCGTCGGCCCGATTGCCTTGTTTTGCCTGTCAAGCTCTTGACTCGTGAAATCAACCCACATGCGCAACTCGGATCACACCAGCTCATCCCCTGGCTTGCTGACGCAGAACGGCTGCGCGCACGGGTGTCTACGGTAATTTCGAGCCCGCCTCCCTGTACGGTTTGCCTACGGGCGAGAAGACACTGGCCAACTATCTTCAAGAGGCCGGATATGACACCCACATGATTGGCAAGTGGCATCTCGGCGTGCAACCAGGTTCGTTGGCTTCATTGGCTTCTGTGGAGGCCATATTCACAGACAGCGAGAGGGTGGGAGCGCGCTCAAGTGTGCACCCCAGGACTCAAGCGTTTGCTCTTGGTTCGCGTTGTAGGGTACCATCCAACCTATCGTGGCTTCAATACTTTCTATGGACTGCCCTACAGCGGGGATATGGGATGCATTGAATCGACACCACAAGGCTGCGAGCCCTCCTGGCTGCGAAATGAGTCCCAGCCGGCGTGTCCGGCGCTCTGCTCGGCCGTGGATGGGACCAGAGCAACCAGTCCAGCTGTTCCTCTTTATGATACCCAGGGCCCAGACTGTGAGGCTGCCCAAAACAAGACATGTGACGAGACCATTGTCCAGCAGCCGTACAATCCACTGGCACTCAATGGCCAGTATACCGCGCGCGCTATAGAGCTAATTCAAGGCTTTGGAACGGATCCCTTCTTCCTGTACGTGGCCTATGCCCATACGCACACGCCTCTTGCCTATGATCCCATGTTTGCCAACGCTTCCACGCGTGAGGGCCGGGCACAGGTATGCAGTGCCTGACATGGATCAAGGATCATGGGTCATGTCAGGTTGATCACGAGTGGTCCAGGATGACGGAAGCGCCTGACGAGTGCCCCACCTATCTTTAGGTGTTTGGCAACACGTTGGCCGAGGTTGACGCCAGCGTGGGTGCCATTGTTCGGGCGCTGGATGTGGCTGGTTTGCTCGAGGACACACTCATTCTCTTGAGCGCTGACAATGGGTGAGGGGGCAACTCGGCTTTCCGGGCCCATGCTTCACCTCAAAAGCGAAACATGTTATGTTGAACCTGCTTTGGGTGGCTGCCACGTACTCTTGATAGGCCCGCCAACCTGGGCTCCGTGGCGTGCGAGGCTGTGGGCTCACCGGGCCCGTTCACGGGCGAGTGGCAGGTACGGTGGGTCAAGGGCTTTGTATACAAGGGCTCTGTGGTTAGATGTTTGGTTATTGACTAGTTGCTAAAACACGCTTTGGGGGTCCGCTGTGCGTGTGCAAAATGATGTTTCCCGCTCTCCAGCGCGCTTCAAATGGCGGGCAAGGTGGTGCCACGCTCAAGTCGACGGCCTGGGAAGGTTTGTTGTGAAACTCGTTTCATGAAATCTTCTGCTTGGATTTGTCGATGCTTGGAAGGGACACCATGGGGCTTTGCGATTCTGATGTGCCTGTGCTCTTTAGGCGGGCACCGTGTGGTAGGGGCAGCCGTGTGGAAAAGCGTCATTGCCAGTGGCACCAACACATCGGTATTGGCCAGCACGCTGGACTATGTGCCTACCATTCTCTCATTGGCTAACATCTCGCTACCTCAAGGTATGGCAAACGGGCCGGTCGGCCAGGCATGGCCCCGCACCAGTGTGTCCACTCGGGCTGCGGGAGATGAGGTATGGTTTGGTGGTGCGTGGGGCTAGATCGCATGTTCGATGGCGTGGACCTGTCAACACTGCTGCTCGACGGGCAAGCTCCCTTTGATGAACGGGTTTGTGCACTTGCTTGCAAAGAAGCGTGGTGACAACGAGGGTCAGGCGGGAGCAACGCGATTGGTTTTGGTTTTGGCTTGCATTTGAATTCTGATGGTCAACTGGACAGATTTTGTTCTTTCCAGAGGACGGCAACATGGCGGCTATGCGCTTCAACGAGTACAAGCTATTTTACAAGACACGGGGCGTGGAGCCTTGCATTGGCTCGCCAGAGCCCCGAACTGCTGGGCGGGCGTTGACGCATGACCCCCCCCTGATCTTCAACGTGACGGACGGTGTGTTATAAGGGCCGATTGCTCATGACCTGTGTGCCGGGCCTGACACTTGTTTGTTGTGGGCGACAGATCCCCAGGAGAGCCGACCCATAACGCTCATGGGCAGCGAGCTGGATTACGTGCTGTCACTGTGGTACGCCGGCTGAGCGCTCTCAAACACAAGGGAATTGCTTTGACAACGCCTGAAAAAGGCGGGTTGATGGCGCGTTTTAGCACAATCGTCATGGCATTTGTTTGCTCTGTGTGGCTAGGCATGGGTACTGGGATAGCGTCAAAGGCACGATGCGCTCGCAAACGGTACGTGAAGCAGCCGGTTTGTGCAAGCCGCGACATGGGTGTGCGAATGACGTTGGCTGTGGTTGGTGGCAGAACTACTCGACCGGTGACGCCAGTGCATGGCCTTGCTGCAACCGCGAGAGTCACTCGTGCAGCTGTACCGACCCGGTCAAGACGACGTCAGCAGGTCTTTCTTAACAACAAAATTCAGAAGCTTACATCCACACGGATCCATTTTTTTTAACAGTCAGGATGTGAATTCACACGAGAGGCTTTTGGTTGATGCAGGGTTGAGAGGTGAAGGCGGATTCCCTAGCCCGTCGCCTTTGGCTTGATCAACGTTTACAAATTGTCAATTTCGTAGTCAATTTCGTGGATGTCAACCCAAAGACGTTGTCTACGAGTATGAAGCGATGGTTGGCAGCTTAATAGCCGTCATAGTAGCCAACCGCAAAGCCAATGCCGCCACCAATCGCAGCGCCAACCGGCCCACCAACTTCACCGCCAAACGAGGCACCTGCTGCGCCCGTCTCGGCACCCTGCTTGAAGCCAGAGGCAAAGTTGCGGCGGCGCATCTGAACGCTGTTGTCGTTGACAAAGTCAACGACGGTGAAGGTGGCGAGCTTGCCCTCTTTGTGCATGTAGCAGATGCTGTGACGGAGGAGAAAGCAGTCGTCGGTGGACTCGGGCAGCGAAATGTCGGCAGCACCCTCAGACTTGCCGAGAATGTTGCCATCCGCGTCAAGGAGAGCGGTCTTGACCTTTGGGGTAGCAAGATCGGTCAAGTTGTCCATGGTGAGGTTGTTGGTGACGAACTTGGTGGTGGCATCAATCAGATTGAAGCACGCTTCAAAATCATCAGCGCAGGCAGGGTGGCCAGTGATGACCGAGTTGATGCCAACGGTGCGGGTGGTGGAAGAGGTGGCGACGGCAGCTTGATGAAACAGGGTGTCAATGCGGCCATTGGCGCTCTCGATCTCGCTCGTAGCGACACCTGTTGACAGATTTCATGGTCGGCGGTGGGGCAGGGGCAATCCCAATGTGAGCACACGAGCGGGAAGCGCGGCATATAGTCAAAGAAACCGGCGGTCTTTTATCAGCATTTTGGCAAGCAACAAATAAAATCGAGAAGAAGCGGGAAGCAGGGCAGGGGGACAAGCCTTGAACACGAAAGACAAGCAGGCTCAACGATATACATGGGCAGACCCGAGCCAAGGTGTAGCAAAAGAGAACAAAAGGCTGGCACATGATCAAGCCCAAGTCAACGCTCGACAAGCATGGCAGAGTGGTGTGTTGGTCATGATGCAGCCATTGCCATTTGTACGGTTGCTCATCGGCCAGGAGGTTGCCAGAGCCATCACTTGCCGCCTTTGTTGTATGGGCAATAAAAAGAAACAGGCTTTCACGTCCAATGGACGGCGCCGCAGCTTTCCAAAACGCCTCGCCTCGACTCACCGGCCAGGCTGACGGCAACGACGGAGATGATGAGAGCAACGATGAGAAGGGTAAAGTTGAGGGCCGAGTTCACGCGCTTGTCCTGGCGAGTGGCCTCCTGAGGGGCCATCATGGCGTATTCAACCGACATCTCGACGGGAGTTGGAGGCTCTGCCGTTTCAGGTTTGTGCTGCAGAAACCGCACGAGGGGAAAATGCACGCTGCGGCGTCTTCTTTCTTCTTCGAATATCAGTGGAAAGCGAAGGGTTCAAAATCGTGCAGCGTCTGAGAGTCATGAGGGTACGAGCACGCAAGCTTGATCAGCTCGGACTGAAGCGGAACCTGTTGGGGCACACAGGGCAAGCAAGCTGCGGACAGGTTTGGGGGGCGCAACTGCCGACTGACATGAGGCCTGAAGGCGAACGCTAATCTGCGGAAGCCTGAAGTCAAGCTTACGGTAAGCGTTTGGCACGAAGATTGGCAAGCTGGAGAAGCCTGTCGACGTACATGATGGTGAATGGTGGGCGCGAATGATTAACAACCGGCAGCTTGAGTTGGCCCGGCTGCTGGCAGGGCATGTGGTATTGAGCCATTGAGCCATTGATCCAGCTTATCATGCGCTTGTGTGCGACCAGGCAAAGCGAGGCCAATGGGCAGCGGGGTAGCTAGACACGGCATAATCAGGACACCATCAAAAGACAGCCAAGGGCTCCGTCCGTTGATGTTGCAAGCCGAGTCCAAACACGACGGACTGCTTTTGTACCGTGCTCTCATGAAAATTGACCTTTAAAGACAACTTTAGTGATGAACAATGCTTTTTTGTGAATGCCCCGATTCCCATGGCAGGCGGCCATTACCAAATGTTATCCGAGTGTGGTGGAGTGTTGCTCGCGTCTTGTGCATGATGGGGTCAGATTCCACCTCCACAGTGTCAAGAGGGGACATTACCTACTTGACCCACAACTCATTGTTTAGGTCCGCACCTGTGGAGTGTGAGAGTGGAAGAGGAAGAGGGAGAGAAGTTGGAGGGTGGTGTGGACGTGTGTGTCTACTTGATGTCATCATATCGTGGTCAACCAAAACAAAAGAATCATCCCACATCGCTTTGACCCCTCTCTCTCTCTGGTTTTACCTTTAAATCACCACTATGGTTTCAGTCAATGCCAACACCATCTCTCTATACATGGCAGCAGCCGCAACTGGTGTTGTTGTTGCTCACTCTCTCTGTGTTTCTCTGTCTCTTCCTCTCTCTTCCTCTCTCTCACTCTCTCTCTGTTTCTCTTCCTCTCTGTCTCTCTCTGTCTTTCTCTCTGTCTCTCCCTCTCTCATACACACACTCTCTCAGTCTCTCTGTGTGTGTGCGAGAGCTTGTTCATGTACTTGAAAGAGGGCGAGGGTCGAGGGCAAATGGCAGCCGGACGGGCGGGGTGAGGGCGTGTGTATGGGGCGGGTGGGTATTTGGGGGAGGGGTTTCTAGGGAAGGGGGTCAGAGGAGGCACATTACGATAGAGTGAGAAGGTGGCGAGGATTGCTTGCCGCCTTTTTCTCTGGATGCCCTCGATCGCAGTGTTGCTTGTGGCGCGTGACCGCGGGTGATGGAGGCGCTGGCGACGCTGGCGGCGCTGGGTCGGCGGGTTCCGATCGAGCTGATTGGCTGCCTTTTCATGACCTCTTTTGTTCTCATCATGCCCACGACGGTTCAGCTGGTGCAGAGCAAGGTAAAGGCACCTGCTGGTTCTTCCCGCCCCGCCTTGAGCTTGAACACTGTTATGATCCGGTGCCGTCTCATTCTCCTGGGCTCGTGCCCCCGCCCCCGCGACCCTTGCTTCGCGTTGAACATAGATTTGCGAAGAAGAATATCCAGGCATCGACACCAACTCTTTGGCCTGCGATTCGGCCGAGGTACGCTGACGAGCCAACCGCCCGCCCGCTTGTGAACCTGCTCAATACAAAACACCCGCACACGCATATGCTCTCACAGATCAGTGCCAAGACAAGCCAGGCCACCTTGTTGCTTCAAGTTGTGCAGGTCTGTTCAAGTTGCTTGCGCTGCCAGGCACGCTCCGCCATGCCCTTTTTTTTGCCCCCGCTCCCTCATTGACCTGCGCTCCCGCGGCAGATCGTGCCAGCCATTGTGGTCTCGACGGCACTTGGGGCCTGGAGCGATTCCATTGGTCGAAAGCCCTGTTTAGTCTTGGGCTTGGCAGGAAGCGTCGTCTATGCCATCATCCTTCTCCTCGTCAGCAGCTTCAGCTGGTCCTGGAAAATTCTTTATTTTGGCAATGTCGTCTTTGGACTCACGGGCTCGGCACCCCTCGTGCTTATGGCCCTTTTTTCCATGTACGCCCGCCCTTTCTCTTCCAAACAAGCCGCGCTACCCTCCCAACCCCCTCTCTTAATTCGCGCCCTTTGTGCAACCTGCCCGTCGTGCAGCTTGGTGGATGCCACAACCTTTGAAAGTCGGACCATGCGCATTGCCGTCATGGAGGGTTGCGTGTACATGAGCCTGGTCACGGGCTACTTGGTGGGCGGTCCTCTCACCCGCTACTTTGGCTTTCCCGTTACTTTTGCGACAACGGTCGGTATCGCAACGCAAATTTGCCTCCTGCGCCCCGCCCCGCGCGCTGAGGACCCCCAGATTGTCTGGTCTCGACAAACACACAAGTTAAAAATTTGTGGCTGCACGGCTGTCACTGTCGACCCGCCCGACAGGTCTGCCTCACCGGCATTGCCACCATCCTTTCGCTTTTCCGGGCCGAATCCTTGCGCCCAGAGTATCGAAAGCCCAAGGTCTCCGTCATGGATGCCACCATCATACATTCGGGTCAACTCTTGACGCAAGCCCGGTTGGTCATCCAGCACATCTAACCCATTAACAACTCTGAGCAGAAATGATCATTCTCCATGCCGCCGCGTCCTGTGCCTCCTTCTCACAAGCGTCTTACCCATGAACTCTGCCCACGCTATTACGGTAGAGACGTTGCTGCCGTCTCATACGTGTTTGTGGTGCAGCTGATCGGTCGCTTGGGCCTTGCTTCGGGTATGCAGCACGTTTGCATGCGCGCGCGAACTTCATGTCGGCCGGGATCTCATTCAGGTGTCGTGCCACCCTCTTTCCAGTGACGGTCATTTACGCGCGCCAAGCCTTTCATTGGCAGGCAGACGTGGTTGACTTTTATCTGGCGGCAGACTCGGCGAGCCGAGGCGCCGCACTGCTGATCGTACTACCTCTGCTGGAGCGAATCGCTGCCAGTCGCAAAAGGCATCTCAATGAGCTCCATCTAGTTCGCGTATGTAATTGTTGAGAAACCACCGACCCGTCGCGCCATGGTAGGCCTGTGTTTCAGTCCTCACCTGCGGTATCCCGGCCGGTTGCAGCTGGGGCTCTGCGGCGCTGTCTTGATGTACCTTGGCGACTACATGCTGGCCTCACCAAGCGGCATTTACGCCATGTGTGGTACGCCACTTGTGCCTATTCCTGCCCCCTCTCGTCTCTCGTCGTTTCAGCTCACTCTTATCGATCAACTCCTTGGTCTCATGCGTGTAGCGCTTGGGCCCATCGCTGGCTTACCATTGCCAGTCGTCCGGGCCTACATCTCAAAGCGCGTCCCAGAAGAGGAACTGGTGCGGCCTTGACCCTCAATGACCCTCCGCTTGCCATGCGCATCTTTCCACAGCTGTGCCGCACCTCGACACTCACGATTCTCCTTGTGTGTGTGTGTGTGTGTGTGTGTGTGTGTGTGTGTGTACAGGGAGCTACCATGAGCGCGCTGGCTTCTATTGAGAGTTTGGGCGGCGTTTTGGGTGCGTCACATGTGCTTTGTTTGCACAACAATCTGTCAGCATTTTGACAAAAGTGGCGCTGCGGCTCAACTCTTGTGCATTATCCAACACATTAGCTCCCATTATTTTTAATCAAGTCTACCCAGCCACGGTGGATGTGAGGCCACAGGCCTTTTGGGCCGTCAGCGCCTGTATGTTTGCCGGGCCTCTCCTTATTCTGCCAATTTACTTCCAAGCATTCATGTTGGCCTTCCTTCAATTGCGCGCGGCGACGTGGCTGCATGCTTACTATTGCACTCACTCGTCACATTTGGCCACTTAGGTCTATCCTTTTCTGGGCTTTTGGTCATGATGTGCGTTAAAAATCATATCGACCGGCGCCGTGACTCACGGTATGACCGGCCGATGGAGCACACGGGCCTGATCAACGGTGGTGCTGATGACTATGAGAATGAGGACCAAGACTTGGGTGAGAAGCGAGCTCTGTTTTACAACTCCTTCGAGAAAGAAGATCCATCGACGTCTCTTCTCATTGAGCAGGCATAGCAGCAACCGTGAGTGGGCAGGCAGGCAAGACACTGCTCTGCCAGCTCCCGCCGTTCCTGTCCTTGCCCACCCCAATGTTGTATAACAGTAGTAGTAGTTGCATTCTGGGCAATGCAGATAGCAGCCACGTGTGCCACGGCCCAAGCTTGAAGAGTGTGGCCGTGCCGTTGACGTGACCTCCCTGACAGATGATCGGTGCGCATAACCGACCGGGACCGAGTGATTGATTTGTCGCCTGAGCGACATGCCCATTTGAGTTTTAAAACCCACCCGTGCCATTCCTCCCCTCCATCCCAGAACATCCAAAACGTGCGGCACTTGTCTCTTCGCCACCACATCTACCACACGGACCATGTGCTTTCCATATACGGACAGCCGAATCCGAGCGACCGACTATGAGAGAGACCGAGCGAGTAGAAACAAAGGTAGAAGAAGACAAAAGAAGACAAAAGAATTTTGCTGACAAGAGAGAGACAGAGAGAATTGCTTCGAGAGAGAGAGAAAAAGCGAGAGAGAGAGAGAGAGAGAAAGCGAGAGAGAGAGAGAGAGAAAGCGAGAGAGAGAGAGAGAGAGAGAGAGAGAGAGAGAGAGAGAGAGAGAGAGTGTGTGTGTGTGTGTGTGAGAGACAGTGTGAGAGACAGTGAGAGAGAGAGAGAGAGAGGGAGGGAGAGACAGTGAGAGAGAGACAGTGTGTGAGAGAGAGAGGGAGATAGAGACACCCACACACACAAACTAACAGACTCAGAGAGAGAGAGAGACATTTCGGTCATTTTGGTCACTTTCTACTTTGCAGTGCGAGGGGTGCGAGCGAGCGAGGAGGAGTGTGTGAGGGGGGTCAGCAGCATTGGCATTGGCGGTGGAGCCCTCTGATGAGCGTGGGTTTGGCATCAGTCCTCCGGCAGCAGTAGCAGCAGTAGCAACCACACGTATTGAGATGGTAAGTCAATCGGTTCAGAGGGCTCACGGGTGCGGGGTTGTTGAGTTGAGGTGACGGCAGCTGACTGACGGCGTTGCCTGTTGGGTTTGCGGGGGGTTTGTCGCAGGAGTTGCCTCAGAACAAGCTGGTAGTGGTCCTGTGTGGTGGGAGCAACGGCAACCATGTCCTTGCTGCCGATCTCGGGCGGCGGGAGGACATTGAGGTTCGGTTGATCACTCGCAATCCGAGCAAATGGAGCCAAACAGTGCGATGCCGTGAACAGCGCTTCACCAGCGACTCGCTTCCCATCAACCCTCTGCCCACTTGGTGGGTCGAGTACGAAGGTCTGTTTTTACCAACTTTGCCAACACGGCCTCTGCCATTCTTGCTGCTTCGGTGAACTCATAGCTCATAAGCAACGCGCGACACATCTGGTTTGTTAGGTCGACTGGCGGGTGTCTACGACTGGGCACACGCCAGTGAAGCCTTGCAGGACGCCCACGTTTGCATCATGGTGTGCCCCGTGAGCGCGCATCGAGACATCCTACGTGCCTTGGCGCCTCACCTGCCGGAGCACCCTTTGCTCCTGGGCACTGCATATGGCCAGGGTGGCTTTGACTGGATGGCGCGTGAGGTGCTTCTTGATCATCCGCGAGCTCGATACATCACTCTCTTTGCCATGAAGCACTTTCCATACCTTTGCAAAGCCCAGGCCTACGGGCAATCCGTCAAGCTATTTGGCCGGTCTGTGCTTGGACGATTAATACACAAAGCCCTTTGCCCGCAATCCGGTTCAGTGCGATTCATCCGGTGCTCACTTCCTCCTCACTACCGACGCAGGTACCCGGATCTTCGCGCTGCCGTATCTCCTTTCCGCCCGCACAACGTGCAAGCCGTCCAGACATGTCTGCAGCGCATGTTTCACAAGCCCATCACCCCCCTCACCGACTTTGTGATTTGCACACTTGGTGGCACCAACCAGGTTTGTATACCAGCGAGCGCACGCACGCACGCACGCACGCACACACACACACACACACACACACACACACACACACACACACACACACACACACACACACACACACACACACACACACACACACACACACACACACACACACACACACACACACGGGCGCGGGACCTGCTGCTCTTTTGCTGCCGTTCCCCCCGCACATGCTCATGACCCTGCCCTGCCCTGTCCTTTCCCGCCGAAACTTTGCACGATAAGCATAGATTCTGCACCCCAGTATCTGCACCCAGCTGTTTGGGGATTGGGTCCCAGGTTTAGTGTACCCAGAGGTCTTCATGTTCTATTTGTGCGTAACGAGGAAGTGGCATTTAACATGCAGCTTGTTTGCTTGCACCAGCACTAGGCTAAACGCACCCTGAACATCTTCCCATCTTTTATGTTGTTTGCTCAAACACATCTTCTCATGGCTGCCCCCCCCTGGCACATTCTTTTAGGAGCGTCAATGCCAACACAGCCAAGTGGCTCTTTGATTTGGCCATCAAGGAGATTCCCACCATCATCTGGGCGCTAGATGGCGCCCTGAATCGCAATGGGCATCTTCGCTATCAAGCAACTTACGAAGTCCTTTCCGATGCACGTTCCCACGATTGATCTGCATCACGCCCATGGCACTCTATCCGAGTTGAACACGGAAAGTCGTCACGCTGCTTATAGTTCCAAACTTACCATAGCTGTAAACTGCCAATATCATGGTGTGCAGGTCATTAGCAAGCTGCCCACTTTTGCGCAACCCAAAACGCTTCTGGCTCGCCCTCTCATGTGGGCTCTTCAGTGGAACAAGCGCTTGAGCGAGGTGTGGGTGCCGGCTTGTGCGAATGCACACTTTTGCGTGCACTCTTCCATCGCTTTTCAACCCCCAGTCTGACTCGCCACCAACTGACCCGACCCTGGACCTTGTATCGGGAACCTCATTGCTTCGGCTCATACATAGGTCAAGGCGCCGATGGTGCCAGAGGGCAGTGGCTTCGTGCCCAACGTGACATCGCGCTTTTTCACCGACGACACAGCCCATGGTGAGTTGAATGGATCGATTGGCATGGTGCGTGGCCACAGCGGTTATGGTCACATGGCGCACTCTTTTTCTTTCTTTCTCTAGGCCTTTGTGTCTTGCAGGGCATGGCCGAAATCTTGGACGTTGAGGTGTGTCGAAAGCTTTCATTCAAGACAAACAAATGTGCAACTTAGAATCGAACCGCATCTCGAGACCCGTGCATGATGCGAGGCGCGCGCAAGAGCCGAACCACCACATCTGCTACAACTCATGTGTGGTTATTTCTCTGCAATCATCACTGGCATAGATGCCCCGAGTGCTTTTCCTGCTTCGTCGTTTGCAGCACATCATGGGCAAACAATATGTGTCTGAGCTGCCTGATGCCCGGGTGCGTCATGCTCTTAAGCATCGCAAGTGAGACTCGTTGGCAAGCGAACGAGTAATACAAACAGCTCACGCCACTTTCTTAGGGCCGCTTCTTGAATGGCGCCGACGTGCCCGAGACCAGTGCCCCACAAGCCTACGGTGTTCATAGCTTGCCAGAGCTTCTGCAATTTTTGACCTGGAACCGTGACGAGGATGTGGTCGTCGGATCTCACTTCCTGCGGTTGGAACCAGGTGTGTTTTTTGTCGGCGTTATGATGCAAATGGCCGCGCATTGCTCACGATTTTGCTATTGTGCAGAATATCAGCCAAACACTGTCGAGGTGGTCCAGGCTCGCCTGTGAAGTTTCACTTTCTTTGGTTTGGGCTGCTGGTTGAATACGCACAATGTCACATGACAATAACAAACATCTGAATGGAGCAAGGAGCGGCAGAAGCGCAGTTCATTCTACACGCAAGCGACCCGAAGATGGTTCCAAATCAATTTGCGACCCGGTTGCTAAACCGTGAAGACATGTATTAACTCTTTTCTTGGGTGTTGCACTGGAACACCTCTACCAAATCCTGAACCAACAGAGATCGGACGAGTCTCCGCTACCTTGTTCAAATTTTTGGACCCCTCACACACTCTTTTATATCCACAGCGACATTCTCAAGCAAACACAACAACGCAATCAAATTAACAAAACCCCTCAAGGGCACACGTTGAGTGAGGGGTGGGCGGGGAGAGAGTACCATGATATTGAAGGAGCAGGGGAGAAGAGTCGTGCCTAGACGAGTGGACAAAATCCCACTTGACTCCCAACGGCACTGCTCAGGAGTGACCAAAGGTCAGATAAAAAACTTAAGCGTGCAGCATGCAGGGGTTGAGCGCCTACTGCAAGACGGGTCTTAGGCAGCTGTCTCCGCTGTTTGGCGCTTGCGAGCCACCTCAAGCAAAGTACGAAGACAGAACTCGTATTGCTCCTCCGTCTGCACCACCTTAGCACGCTGCTCGCGGAGTTCCACTAGGGTTTGGCGCGGGTTGGGTCGCATACCCTGCTCGAGGCGGATTAGCTCACTCTCCACCAGCATCAGCACGCCGGTGCGGCCCACGCCGGCCGAGCAATGAACCACCGTGGGCCATGGTGGGTTGTTCACTGCAACTCCCATCAGACGGACACGAATTTCACGGATCTCATCAATAAAATCCAACAATGATGATGGAGTTTTCGGCACAGAGTGATCAGGCCAGGCCGTGTACTGGAGATGCCAGACAGTGCGCATGAGGTCTTCGCTCATGTTGCGCACGCGCAGACCACGAATGGTGTAGTTGCCACTGCTGACGCTCTTGACGAGACTAATCTTGAGGTCTCCGAAAACCAGGGCATCGTATTCACCCGTCTCCGTGGGCCAATAGCGCTCACACTTGACCTTGCCTCCTTCAACTTCTCCGGTCACCATGACCACGATCTGTGAGCCTTGTTCCCAGACCATGCGCCAAAAGTCACCAACGGTTCCGGGCAAGGGCCCCTGCGCTGCAATATACCAGAGGGTACGGCCCTCCTCCGCAAACGTGACATGATTGGCATTGATATAGCTGTTCTGTTCGTCTTGTAGGTGGACCAGCGTATCATCATCTACACAAAAGATATGGCAGCAGCACGCATAGGTAAATGTCAAGCGGGAAATCAAAACAAATGAGCTAAAAAGCGCCTGACGCAGGGGGGGGGGGGGGGGGGGGGGGGGGGG